ACAGCTTCTTACGGCATACCCCACACCAAAAATAGCGCCGACAGTAGTATTCAAAGTGGTTATTTTAGAGTGACTAACATATTGGATTTTACTTTTACTTATGATTTTATTATTGTTAATATATTTTTTTAAGAAAATAGAAACATATTATCACCTAAAAGAATGGATCTAATAAAACACAAATTAATTATTTTTAATGAGAAAATAGATCATTAAAACTATAAGGATTGTAAGGTCATTCAAAATGAAAATTTTTATACCCAAAATAAGTTATTGGTTTTAAATTTTAAAAGAAATGTAGAAAGATGAAAAATATAATAAAATGTTATCATAGGATTAGATTGTGACTCTTAAAACACACAAATAAAATTATTTTTACAAGTAAATTTCAAAATTTTATGATTTGAGATGTTAATGAAAAATATAATATTTTATATAATAAAGTAATTTGTCTTATTAAGCAAGTTGTAAAAGATGTATTTGGAAATTCAAAGGAAAAAAATTTATGAATAAAAATAGCTTGTGGGTGAACTAATAAAGCTTGTGTGTGAACTAATAATGTGCAATATATATATATATATATATATATATATAATAAGACATTTTAAATTCGCCTAGATGTAAAAGCATAGAGAAATAGAAAAACTTTAAAACATCTCGTAGGGAGTCAAAGAGCAATTTATTATGCTAAGAATTATATTTTCAATAAGTTTTATGATATATTAGATATTAAAGGATGAACAATATATATATATATATATATAAACTAATTAAGTAAAGAAAAAAAATATTTAGTTCAAGTAAAATGTATCAATGATGAAAATCAAAAAATATTTTTTTCTTAAATGAGGATAATCAACATAGGTGGATGAGATATTTTGATACATTTTTTAAAGAAGATGGTGAAATACGATCAACTTTAATGATCTTAATAAAATAAATAATTACAAAGCTTTTTATTTTTATTATTGCAATAATAAAATAAAAGTTGAGAAGAATTTAAAAAAATAAAGTTTAGAAAAGCAGTAGGACCTAGCGGTATTCCAATAGAACTATGAAAATATTTAGACAATTTAGGAATTTATTGGATTATGAAACCTTTTAGTATTAATTTAAAAATTAAATAGATGTTTGATGAGTGGATAAATAGTCAATCCAAAGTTAATGTATCACACATTAAAGTTATGAGAGACGGTAATTGAGCATAAGTTTGGATTCATGTTGGGCAAGTTTACCATGGATGCTATACATTTAATGAGAGATTTGATGGAAAAATACAAAAAAAGTAAGAGGATCACCATATAATTTTTTTTTATTTAGAAAAAACTTATGTTAAGCTTCCAAGAATAGTAATTTGGAAAGTTCCAGAAAATAAAGGTGTTGATATTACTTATATTTAAGTCAATTAGGATATGTATATTTTTTTTTTATATGAGGTCTCCCTAGAGCTTAGAATTTAGTCTTAAGATTTCTTTAGTAGCTCTCCTAGAATGAGGAGAAATCAACACCAAAATAGAATTTCAAACATCTATTCACTCCTGGGAGTTTCATATACTTGACTTCAAATCCTTAATCATTAATTAAATTGATTAAACTAAATTCATTGAAATTTAAGTTGAGCTCCTATAGACTTCCATGGTGCATCATGAGCCTTTGTGCGACGATCACATTGCCAACTCCTTATACAAATGATTAAATACAGAATGTCAATGATGAAGTGGTGAAGAAGGAGACGGCCCTAGATGAGGAGAAGGGTGAATTGCAGGCGAAGTCCATGGAAGACGCACGTTAGCTAGCCAATTACAGAAAATTGTTAAAAGAAATAAAAACCATGAGATCTGATTGTAGTAGGACTTGAAAGATTATTAGTTTTGAATCACCACTCTACAAGAGAACTATCAGCTCGCCCTGAGGGAGCAAAAAAAATATTTTGGAAGCATTATTAAGTAGTATGAAGAAACAATGAGTTTCTATTTGAAGACTCTAGTTAATCATCATACCTTGCCACTGGTTTGGAATGATGTGAAAAACTTTCTAGATCTTGCTGAGAAATCTAGTGAAGAAAGATCAATAATAAGAATCAGCCTACTGCATAACTCTCTGTTTCTGAATATTGACCGTATTTTTCTTTGCATGACTCAGACACTGATAGAGAAATCTTTTGAAAGTGAACACACTTCCTTGCATGTTATAATTATTTTGAACTTCCTCTTCTATTTGAGTTAACTTGTTGATAATGAGAAATATTTTTTGAGCAATCAATAATTAGTTTGAATAATGTGATCAAATAGAGTTTGATGACAATGATTTCATATTTGAAAATCCTTCAATTCAAGTCTTATGATATGCCTAAGTCTAGTAGGGTTTCAAAGTTTAGTCATCACCTTGAAATAGTAATGCCTCTCACAAGAGGTACTCAGCAGATCATGTCGTAGCCATTGTGGGGTATTCGATTAGACTTGCTCAAGGAATGTAGCACTACTCACTACAATCTTGGAATAGAGGGGGGAGTCTATTTGTTGAGGCTGGACTTTTGGTCAAGGAACATGTCTATACACCCAATGGTATATGTTGCTTAACATTGAGGAAAAAAAAAGTAATAATTTGAAGAAAAGAAGGATTAAGACGGTCCTTGTATTTTTAGAGAAATTTTTCCATCTTTATTTTCTTAAGAACTTGTTAAATTGCCTTATAAGATAATCTCATTTCTTGAATAGTTGCAGTTCTCTGAAAAATTGATTTGCCATTTGCTGAAAAAAAAAAGAAGTAAAAGAAGAATAAAATCTTCTGGATTTGATCAGTATTTTATTTCCGATCATGTGAAACAATCATTTTTATTACAATTTTATTGAAATCAGACCCTAGTCATTCATTTGAAAATTGATTTGAATGATATCTTATGTAAAATCCTAAATTGAAATTCATGCTGGCCTTGATGAGATTCTTGGATCCATATCAAGTAGAGTAATTATATTGTTAAGCGCTTTTCCAGCACCAAGAAGCTAAATCACACATAGATATTAAAACAAGTAATAGATAATTATCAAAATTAAATAAAAATTGAATCTTGATGTTTCAATCAGTTCACTATCATTTGTCCCCTTCTAACATTAGTCTTATGAGTGCAGCTAAAGAACAAACAAAATGCCTGCAAGCTCACAAGCAACAGTAGCAAAACAGCTGCTGCAAGCACAAATAACTGCCATGAACCCAACACATATATCCTAATTATCCTCCTACCCCTCACTCTCCAACTTTTACTATAATAGGCATTCACATCCTCTATAACCTTGTCCAAAAACACCACCTTTGTGAGCTTAATAGACCTACTCATATCATTCCAAAGTTCGGCGACCTTAGCATCACTCTTCAGCCTGTTCAAAATCACTCCTTTTTTCCTCAAAACTTTTGCATCATCTGCCGTGTCAACAATCCCATTCATCAGCTCAATGTAACGAGTGAACACTAGAGGTCCAGAAGCCACCGCAGTCTCATAGGCCACCAAGTTCTTTAACATAACTTCAGTGTTCACGTCAACGCTTATTGTTGGTAGGTGCAAAGTTCCTGTTTTTATATCAAACAAGATTTCAGATAATGGCTGGTTTGTAGGGGAGAATAGAACACCGGCACTAAGGAGCTCTGTCGCAGATGGTATCTCAATTTCTTCTATAAAAGGTGGCTTTTTTATGTTACAGTTGTTTGAGGAATTTGAATTTGTAGATCTAGAGTTCTCAGCCTGTGAGAAGTACTCTAATGACTGCTTCAATATCAACAAGCCTGGAAGACTAGTGAGAATTCTGAAAGAAATTTTTAGTAGAAGTTTGACTGGAATGGATATAAGAACTTGCTTAACATGATTCAGAAAATCTCGAGCTGGATTGTTTAACGAATTACTGTCATCTTCATCTTCAATCTCAGGAGTCTCAGACAACTGAGCATTTTCAGGAACCAGAAAGTTGTAGAGGACTTCTAGCAAGTGAGAACTTTTAACGACATCAAAACTTTGTGGGAAGTTCTCTGTTGTTATTTTTAATGGTGAAATCTCTATTATGAAGTTTTTCAGCATTGTTGAAAACAAACCATCTGCTTGATCTGTTGAAGCACACCCAACTTCTAATACTTTCTTTAGCAGGAAAAGTGGAATTTGATTTTCTAGCATTAGAATGTCTCTAAGTACCGAGTTGTGTGTTGATTTCCTTCTGGACATGAAAGGTGATATTCCTCGCAAAGCTTTTGCGTCATCAATGGCATAAACTCGAAGGAATTCAAGCAGGAAGCAAGCATCAATAGCCATCATCCATGATAAGGTCTCCACACTCAAGTTGAGATATCTGATGCCAGACATAATAGTAGATTACAATGAAGAACCAATTATTACATTTATATATATACCACTCAATTCTTTTGCATTTACATATCCAACACCTAAACTTCACTTATTACATACATGTCACCTTACTTAGTCATGAAAAGGTGCATTTCATATTTTAAAAGTTAAAACAGTGGTACTTTTCATGTCATATGAAAGATTTGGTTGGTATAAATGTAAAAAAGTAATGTTCAGGTGTTATATATGAAAATATATAGGAGTTGAGTGGTATATATGTAAATGCCCCAAAATTAATTGTTTCAAATTTCTCTGTAACTTTATGTTGGTTTTTTTAAAAAATTCTTATACTTTTATTAAGAATTTTGTGAAATTCTATGATAACTAACAGATTTTGCCATGAAACTTTGCCAAGGTATTATATCATGTTTCTGGACAAATCCTAATGAAATTGTCAGAATGTTAAGAAAAACATTACACTTTCATATTACATTACCTGTCGTAATGTGCTCTAATCTTGTGTTCTGCTTTGTTAAATTCATCCACAATATCCTGAAGCTTCAGGCCATGTAAATGCTTCTGAACTCTTTTAGCAGCAGAGAGTTTCGGCCGAGTCATGTCGTTGAGTTCAGCCCTGAAGTGGTGATAGGGACCAATGGCAACCAGTTGAGGAATATATGATTCTGGAGCAGCAGATCTTAGAGATTTGGGAACTGAAGTAATGGAAATAAGAAATTTAGAAACATCACCATCATCATCTTCTTCATCTTCAATTTCTTCCTGGAGAGATGTTCTGATTTTGATAACCCATTCATCTATGTTGTAGTTTTGATTTGGGGTGGGATGGTGAGCAGCCATGTTCATCTGACTGGTTTGGGGTGAGAAACTTTTTAGGGAGTTTTTTTATGTGGGAAGGTTTTTTTAGTGTCTGGGTAACGTATGACATGTTTGAATGTTAGTTGTTTTTTAAAGGAATTCATGGTTGCTTTTATTTTGAACTCAATTTAAGGAACAGTTACTTCAATTAATTAACTTTATTTAATCAATTAACTTCCTAACAAAAAAAGGAAAAAAAAACTGATCCAGAACTGGATCTTAGGAACTGAAATGAAGCTTAATTTCTCAATAACATTTAGACGTTACAATGAGAAACATCAAGACAAGTTACAACCCGCAGCTAACAATTAAAACTGTTTCATTCATCAATTGCAACAAAATCATTGTATAAATGCAAGCAATGGAAACTATTTTAACATTCTTTAAGGCACCAGTTCTCTCATTTATCTGCAGATCCATATAATATACACCACAAAGTCTTCCTATAAACGCCTTGACACCCAAAAACAAACACCATACACGCAAAACTATAAACAGACTTCAGGATCATTTCCTCCCCTAAATGGATGAAGTCGCCGAAGGAGATGGGACCGGCGCGCGCAGGGTTAACATAAAAATGTAACAATGATATAAGGGATAAAACTGTTCTAAAAAATGATTTCCCTAGCTTTTATGTACATAAGAACTATGTAACAACACAGATTTTTTTCGAACCATTTGCAGAAGTCAAGCAGCCAGAACAAGAACCTTGATTGTCCCTTGACTGTTAGCTGCCAACATTGTAGGGCTGTCACTCTTCCAGCAAACGGCGCTGATGAAATATGATCCCGGGTCATCATCCGTGTCATCGAGGTCAGGGGAGCCAAATCTATGGCAGGCTGCTGGCTTCGAAATGGCCTGCAAAATGATCATCAATCATAAGAAAAACAGTTTACCACAAAATGGCAGATGACCAATATTTACAGCAGTAACAACTTGAAATGAATGAAAGATGAGACCAAATGGATGAGAATGGCTCACCTTGTGGTACACAAAAACATCATTTGTTTCACTTCCACAAGCCATGTACTCATTGTTAACTGTTAGACCAACAAAATTCTTCTCGTTGGCATGGCCTCTGAAAGTCCTCACCTGAGCAGAAGCTTCATGTTATGACAATAAGTGTAGAAAAAAAAATATATATCCACAAAAATTGAAGTTACTTCTGATATTGCCAAAAGTGGAATAAAGCATCTCAGATGCTATCCAATCAAAATAAATACAATAAATTAAAAAATAGAGTATTCTTAAACAACTTTGCCAATTTAGTGGCAGAATATTGTTTCTCTTCCCAAAGCCTGGTATGATATTTAGTTATGAGCTCCAAATCAGCTTGGATAGAGAAGGCTAAAATCAGGACAGCTTGATACAGTAATTAAGGAAATTTATGACATGTATATTGAGGGAACATGAATGATTATAAGAAACATAAGCCATATTAATGTCAATGGTACACAGATTACAGAAAATTTTGTGAGCTACTTTCAAAAAGAATGAATATCAAGCTTGATAAACGTACTGCTGTATTATCCTTTACATCCCACAAGCGCAATGTACTATCTGTTGAGGCAGATGCAAGCTCATTAGTAGATAAAAATTTCACGTATGAAACAGCCTTCCTATGCCCTCTGAAGACATGAACTGGTGTGCTTGTATTTCTCAAATCAAAATAGTGAATGTTATGGTCTGCAGAACCCACCTGAAAATGCCATAAAACCTCATCAACCCATCAACCTAGTGATTAGAAGCCAAAAAGAAGCTAGAAAAGATAAGGAGCATACCGCCACATAAATGCTCGAACCAGGATTGTATTTGACACAGCAAATATTTGCTTTCATGTCAATATTAAAAGCACTTGCCTCTTGCCTTGTACACCAAACTTTTACCTAGTTGTCATTTGAAAGCAGTGCAACATCAATTTACTGATTAGGTAATAGCAATGATGATCCGACTTTTGTGTTGCTTCTAATGAAAACAGAAAGAAAATGCATATACAATGCATCATCGTTTTTAACCTAATTATCATGGAAGGTGTCTAAGGAAATTTGACACAAGTTTAGATTATTAACATCAACTTTAAGGATTTGACGACTAACATAAAAACTGCACAGGATTTACTCGGAGCAAGTTTTTGACATTGTCAATAATAACTGAAATTAAGCACAAGCTGCGTGCATGTACACGTTCATTCGTAAGAAGACTATATAGGCACCATTCAACCCCAGTACATAATCTGCTGTCTCTCTCTCTCCTGTTCTTAGCCGATGAATTGCATTATTCTAGATGATTTAAACGATAACAATATTAACCCCACAAGTTCATATCCACCCTTCCCCAGGAGAAAAAAATAGATAATTATTCAGCCACGTTTGTAAAAATTGATGGTTTCTGAAGAAATTTTCCAACTTAAATAAAATTTCACAACCAACCATCACTACTACATGCACGCATCAATTTAGATGGATGGATACATAAAAAAACATAATCCTGTACTATTCTATGCAAACTGTGGTCAATATCAGCAAAACTGTATGGTAAAAATAGTAAGTTCAACGCCAATGCAAATTTTTGTATAAAAATTACCTTGCAATCATCACTTCCAGAAACAAGCATTGATGGTTCTGTCCGTGAGAAGTCAACACTCCATGCTCTCTTTTCATGTTCTTCATATTCCATAACACTCTGCACATTGAGAAGCTTTAACATTTTAAGAGCAAAAAAAAAATTACAGTAAATATCATAAATAGACGGAAAGAAATGTTCCTACCTGGCGTGTATTTATGTCCCAAACAGTTACAATTCCTTCGTAGTCGCTACTTGCAATAATGTTCTTCGAGTACTTATTCCAACTCAAGCAACTTAATTTGGAACGAGTGGACATTTCTACAACAGGGCAGTGAACATCAGGTTGTTCGTTAACAACCTGGAAAGAACTTCAAAGGAAAGAATTAAAGTTGGAATTTCAGAGATGTTACGGATAAATAAAAATACTTAGAGAAAACTTACTGTGGAGAATTCAAAAACTTTAATTCGTTTGGAAACACCGGCGGTAGCAAACAGTTCATCATCACGGTCAAACTCTATGCTGCGAACAAAACAGAAAACATCTAAAACATAAGATTATATTCTTTATGTCTAAAACAACAAATACAAAACAAGTGCATGAGAAATAATCTTCAAAGAGGAATAACGTTAAGAGTTATAGGAAAAGCTATGTGACCCACAATATCCCATAAATGAAATTGTTCCCCACTTAATAAGCCTACTTGAATTAACAGAAGCTAAAGAAACACAAGAAGACGGAGTGCAGCAACATTGACAAAATTGCTTGGATAAATTATTTGGCATAATCAAGCTTGTTACCTTGGAAAAAAAACCTACAGGTATTGGGACAAAAAAATACAACATCTATAAAAGTATAAAGAGTACCCGTCCATACGGAATTTAGTACCGTGCAGGAAAATTAAGTACCACTTGGGAAATGCTAGCTTATGAGCTAACCCTTTTGTGCAAGCACATTAAAGACAAGTTGCGACTTTTAAGATCACGGGTTAAGTTCACACATTTGCGCTCCGGCCGCAGCGTCTCCTAAGATAGTTGGGAAGGTTGACATCCTCTGTGCCCCCAAACGGGGGTCGACGCCAAGAGGTTACCAGAATTTTCAGTAAATTTGGACTTGTAATCGTTTAAAAACATTTGGGATTTTGGATTTTTAAAATAAAATAAAACATCGCTCACTCAAATTTTAAAATGACTTATAAACTCGAGCTTTTCAAAATTTTAGGCTCTTGGGGCTTAAAATATCAAGGAACTCGGGCTTTTAAATTTAGGCTCTTAGTTTTTTAAAAATTTTAAATATTTCGACCATTAAAATATAAGTTTCTAAGACTTCAGATGTTAAGATTTTGATTTTTAAAATTTTAGCCCATAAGACTTAAAAAAATATTTTGAAATCAGGCTTTTCAAACTTAGGCTCCTAATGTTTGAAAATCAATTTAAAGTTAAATTTTTCGGACTTAGGCTCCTACGATTTTATTAAAACTTGAAATTCATTGCCACTGAATTCGCAACATACTTACTAGTGAACAGAAGGCGGTCCATTTTTATAAAGCCTAAAATCATAATGCCCTTGCAAATACTCGAGCTCTGAATGACTTCAAAATCTATATAAAGTCTCTGGTTATTTCCTAAGTCGAATGAAATATTTTGAAATGAGAGTCCACTCTCAAGATTTAGATGAGCATTGCTTAAGATACTCTTGAGTTGTATATGCTTTATACAAATAAATCAATTACACATATTTTTTCAATGCCCGCATGTGTTTCGACCAATATATAGAACGCTTAAATATTGGGTTTGAGAATGTTGCAGGCGCTAGGTTGTAAGTCGTTGTCTATAGGGCATGGTTGTAAGTCCCACCCCACTAGTCCGATCTTCCTCATCTCAAGAACTGGAGTTGACAAGTCTAATAAGCTTCAATAAATATTCAAATTCTAACATAAGAGTTTACAAGTTCAAATCACCAAACTTGTTTGCTCCTCCTTTAAGGACAAGAGTCAACAGGGCAAATGTTTTGAAAAGATTAAACTGACAAAATTAATTGCCCCTTCATATATAAAAAAGTTTAAAATATTTAATACCTCGATGATGGTCGAGTTGATAGAAGATTTCAATATTGGGTTCAATCTTTTAAATCAAGATTTTCAAAATAATCAATTGAAATATCCAAGCTAAAAGTCAATCACTAAAGACTTAAAGTAAATCTCATCCACCCTTTGCATTTGTTTGTTGAGGGGGATAAATTTCTAACCGACTTCAGCTCACAAATAGCTAATGTCATATTAAATGTATCAATAAATTCACAATTAGAGCAAACATATGCCAGTAAGGACGTGGCCCGAGTCTTCAGTCGACATGGTTTAGCCGCCAAATAACACCACAAAATAGTGGATACGACCAGAACCCTCTGACCGAGTGGTTGT